TTAAATTCACCCGGTTCTATTTTCCATCGATCACCGAACCGGCATGGATTTTTTCATCGGTGTAAAACTGAATTTACACCTAAAGCAAAGACAGCCTTAGTCAAATCAGTCTAGTGGATGTTGAACTTGTCCTTGAGATCTAAAATTATCTCGTGCTTAGTTGTTGAGTGGATTCAACATTGGATCATCAACTCGAATCCTAGAAATGATGAGACATACTCTATTTTTTAAGAGGTGGTAGTGTTAATGTGGCATATCTGACGTTCTCCTAACAAAATTTCTTTTTGAACACAAGGTCACTCACCCAACGTTGGTGATAGCTGCAGCTTTGGCCATTCTAGCTGATTAGAGGTCAGTCCAAATGGCATATACTTCTTGAGTCATGGTTGAAATCTCCTCGATTGCCAACTAATGTAGGCGCATGTGTCAGGGCCGAGGATGGCACCACGTGGCATCGGTCAGATGCAATCCTAGCCATCTGCCTCGACTACGTCCTCAGGGCTGGGCTCTTCAGCCTCATCACCCTCCACTACTTCAGGTGACGCCAAGGCATCAGCAACAACATTGCCCCACGGCCTTGTAGATCCAATACTCTCATTAGGAGATTCACAGCCCCTCCGGTCACACTAGGCGCCTTCAGGAGCAGTCCTCTCCCTTAGTACATGGACCTCGGGCCTTTGAGGTGAGCCTTCGGGCTTAGTACCATGACTCTCACTACTACTACTAGATGAGGTGGAATGAGACGAGCTAGAACCCGAGAGGTCAGGAAGCTCGTAGCACTCGGGACCAGAGTCTAAATACGACATGGCTAAGGGGAGAAGTCCTTTACCTAGTAGATGAAGTCAAGGAAGGAGGCTAAGGGATCAAATAAGAAGGTGGCTGAGGCCTTTGGAAGCGTGAGTAGAAGTAAGAAAATGATAGCCACTGCCTTAATTAGAGGCCCTACTTAAAGAAGAATGTACGGTCTTGATCGACTTGATCCAACAGTTGCAGAGCAGTCGACCTGACAGCCCGAATCGACATATGACACGTGGCATCAACCTCAGGAATGTGAAATGATGTCGAGCGAGTCGGCCGGTCTGCCCACCGACTCCAGGTCTAAAGCGACTCAACCCGGGCAACCCGATGCCCATCTCGCGCATGGCCACGGCAGATCGATCCCCCACCCATTCCGTATACGACAATGGTCAGTTGGTGCTGACGCCCGTCCTACTCATGGGTCCATAGCGATGCCCTTGAAGCACACGGCCGAGGAGCTCAAGCATCTCACAACAAGGCACAATACCTAGCCCTCGGCCCTCCATGACCCTCTTGAGAGGCGAAGTCAACTGCAAAATAGCCGCCACTAGACAACTAAGGGAAGCCCTCAACAACCAAGGCCGACACCTCCACGCTCCTAGACAACACTCCCTTCGGCCAAGCCGAGGTCCTCTCCTGACACGCCTTCCAGCACCTCCTAGCAGTATCGTTACACTCTCCTTGGTTGAAACCAAGGTCTCCACTCAGCCCTCCAATCAGGCCTCGTTCATCTCTCTAGGATGGCGCATGTGGCAGGGCCTAGGATGGCCCCACGTGGCATCGATTGGATGCAATCTTGGCCATCCGCTGTGAACCACCTCCAACCACTCCCAAGGCAAAGTCTAAATAAAGGTGCCACTCTCCAGGTAAATCACTTTGCTCATTCCATCTCTCTAGCTCTCTTGCTCTCGAGTGATCTCGTCTGAGCTCTTATCTTGAACCTCGTCCAAGCCCTCTTACGTAATTGACTAATTTGATTATCGGAGTCTCCACCTTGAGATAAAACCTGAGGCCTCTGATGTGTGGTCTCCTCACAGGATTGGACACATCGGCCTCGGCTAAAGGAAGCACATTTACCAAGTTGGCTGGTCTCGTTCACCCTATGATTTCATTAAACAAAATGTTGATGCTGCAGTCGCAACGTCTTTGTCTGGTTTAGGAGTGACTTGTCGTGCTTCATCAGGCCACCACGTTTTTTCTTCATAGAAATCTGGTCACCACGTTGCTATCTTGGCATTGGGCATCGATCGCTGTATAATTCATTGGTTGGTGAGGCAGAAGCTCTCTTAGCTAGTTTAAACTTTGCCAAGTTTCTAAATCTCCACAGGATTATTATTGGATTGCATATATACATAGCTTCATTTCTTCCCCATGTTTACATTAGTTTGTAAATATATCAATTATTAAGCTTAATTGATTTACTAAAAACATATAGAAATAAATATAATTAACCAAAACCAATAGATCTATACGTTTAATATGACCCATTATTAAAAGAGAAATCCATTGGAACGGTAGGTTTGGCCAATTCCCCGACAGTAATTGACAAACTCAACTCAATCTGATCCACTACGCGTTAAATCTATAGTACTCTCAATGAAACAAAAAAAAAAGTTTATAGTAGTTTCCTTAATACAGAAAGCACTCCCTATATATTTAGATCGAATCTACACCTTCTGAGGTCGCTGAGACCAAAGCTAATGGCCCTTTTAATTTGTTACGTTCGATTGAGTTGCTCCACCAGTTCAAATTCAACATGACCTAAGAGGCTGAGGAGGATGTAAATGATGTAATGAGCTTTTGCTTCTTACTAGGATGATGGAATTCTTCAGATTTCCTTAATTCATGAAGCTGCTCTGAGTCATCACACTGCATTCAAATAAATAATGTTAAAAACGTTGAACTCAAATTCTACTTATTAGGCCTATATCCATCTAAAAGGGAAGAGGGAAATTAGTAAGTAGCATACCAGTTGTTTATCATCGTAACTGATTTTCATATCATCATCATGTATTTCTTCTTCTTCTATTGGTAAAACCGCTGCTGGTGCTTCTCTTACATATGATTCCCTGTGTCAATTATCTTAGCATTTCAAATTCACTTCTAACATACACTTTTCCTCTTGTTAACCTACGATGTAGGATATACCAAATGTCCATTGTGAAAAACTACTTGATTCAAAAGAAAGTATACTCTTTGGTCATAGAAACCCAAACATTATATTAATGCCGATGACCCTCTGAAATATTCAGACGTAGGTGTGTCAATTGGACTGGATTTGGTCCAATCCGATCCAGTCCAATGTCAGTCCATTATAAATGGACCAGGCCCAATCCAATCCAATGAATGCTTTGGACCAATCTGTTCAAATTTATTTAGATTGTTTTCAACCCAAGCCCAGTCCATTGATACATATATTCTTATCTTATATCAATGGATCAGATATTGGCTTAATCCAACACGATCCAATATAAATTTGTTACAAATGGACCACGTCCAATCTAATCTAATAAATATTTTGAACCGAATTGATCCAATCCAATGTTTTGTTAGTCTGTCCAATCCATCCAAATTGATTTTAAACAAGCCAAAACTTGTCCATTGACACCCATACTCAGACAAGGTGCCCAGATAATATCTGAAAATCTACAAGAACCCTACTCTGTTCCCAACCCCGAATCCCCCTGTACTGTTACTATATAATACATTACAGAAGGACATAAGAAAAGGACGATGGTTTTACTCCAAAGAGAACGGGGGCAAATTAGCTGGAGACAAAAACGTACACACCCAATTACTTATTACTGTTGAACACACCAGTGTTCAGTACAGCTGGGTCTCAGATGGGTTCACAGTGAGCACTGATTTCTGTTCATGTCATATAAGTCAAATCAAGGTTTTAAAAAACAAGCTGGAACTATTTTGGCCACTGGTTTTTGGATCAGCGGTTTAATTGTCCGATTCGAACGAATGACCTGTTCCGATTTCTGGGTCGGCGGTTTGGTATTGCTACCTTGTGGAGGTGACGCGAGGACTTAAACTTACAAGCCTAAGAACACTTGTTAAGATATCATCTTTTGGCGTATTGACATTTTCTACCACCATGCTGTAATCTATGCTAGATCATGGATTAATCAAAATGGGGCATGGTTCATACAAACCGAATCCTACAAAAGCAGTTGACTTGAAGAGAATGTCTATGTTTTTGTATGTGTAGCATGGATGATTTTCATTGGCCGCATCACAGCCTTAGCAACGGTGTATCATAGAAACTGTGAACTCATTGTTATAATCTCTCCAATGTATTTGGTAATTGGTTGGAAAGAAAAAAAAAATCAAACTTCTAGAGTGGAAAGTACTTACAGTTCAAGCACTTCTCCAAATTCCGATATCTCCTCCACATACTTCTCCCGTAATTCTTCCATTGTCAGCTTCAATGATGTCACATGGATTGTCTTCAGATTGGGAGCACTTTGGCGTTTAAAGGGGAAATTCAGCAACTTTGGACATTCTTCTATACTTACTTTTTCCAACAAGGGCCAATCAGATAGAGTACTGCTTCCAGAAATACTTGTGAGGGATGGTAAATCCGAAAGATATAAATTCATCAAATGGGGCAATATGATCTTGTCCACTGTTTCACCTTCATCCTCTTTTTCAAAAATTTCTTTCAAAGAATAACACTCATATACCTTGAGCCATTGCAGTTGCGGAAGACTTTGAGCCATGGCAGGTGAAAAGATACTTCTCAAACAATCACACCCTTTCAAGTCGAGGATATTTAGGTTGGGAAAATCAACAATTGAGCGTGGTCTCAAGCAGATTTCTTTCAATGTTTGCAAATTTGGCATTGAGTGGATGCGTAATCTTTTCAAATTGGCGAAGGCACTTGATGGAATGTATTCCATCTCATTGCAACTATACAGCTGAAGAATTTCCAAATCATCTAGTTCTTCTATGATACTTCTCAGATCACCCCTGCAATCTTTTAGGCACAGAACTCTTGTTCTTCTCAATTGATTAGAAAATACATTTTTTATTTTCTGTGCAGGAAGGCCGTTGATAACCAACTCATTTAATCCATTATTCATAACATTGTGCCTTAAATAACCTATGTTTATGTAAAACCTTTTGAGATCTTGGAAAACAAAATCATTTGGCAAATTTCTGCAATCCCTTATATGTACATGTAGAGTGGTTAAGTGATGTAATGCTTTCTACTCTTCCAAGCTAGCTTTGGATCCATGATCCATTACTCCTTGAGCCTTCCAATCTCTAAAGCTTAAAAACATATATAGTTCTTCTAGTTGGGACCAAGCAGAAATCACATCAGGGGGTATAATAAGCTTAGGGTTATAAGATAAATCCAGTAGCCTTAGATTGGCCAGCTGTGCCATATTTGTTGGCAACCTTTCAATGGATTGACATCCAAGCAAACTTAGTATCATAAGTTCCTTCAAATTCCCAAGTACAGATATGTCTTGTAACTCTGAGCATCTTTCAAGAATTAGCGTATGAAGATTGGTCAAGCATTGGATTGACCATGGGCAGAAAAATATGCCATTATAACTCAAGTCCATTATCCTAAGTGCTTCCATCCATTTGAAGAAAGTGTCTGGAATCTCCACATCCCAACCCATCACTCCTTGCAACAGTAGAGTCCTTAGTTTTGAAAACATCAATTGATGGGGCAATTTTTCTATTCGATTATCCATCAATGAAATGGCAGTGTATTGTTCAGTTGAATCCATTATTGGCCACTCTTTAAGTCCTTTACGAGCTCTTACCATGAATACTTCATCATAATTTCCACTGGATGCAATTGAGATGCCAACATCACGAATAATGTCATGCACTTTGACACAGCCTCCATGGGATCCTTCAAATAACAAAGAAGATGATTTGAGCTTCTTAACAATCCTATGTGTTTTTCGTCTTGCATCTTCTATTGTTGCAACATTTCTAAATAGTCCCATTCCAAAGCCATATCTCACCATTTGCTCAATATAAATATCATAATCCTCAGGAAACAAACAACAATACAAGAACAACTTTTGGGTTTCTGCATCCCTTAGATAATCGTAACTCCATTTCAGACATGAAAATACATTTAGGTCCAAGCCCTCAATATTGTGAGGTTCTGAACTTCGAAGTTCATGTAGTGCATCATTCCATTCCTGTGGATCTTCCTTACCTCTCAGTGCTCCTGCAACAGTTACAATCGCAATGGGCAAACCCCCACATTCCCTAACAACTTCCTTCCCCACATCATGAAAAGTGTCATTTTCCACTACAATACCCACATTCCTCTTAAACAAATCCCAAGCATCCTGCTGAGATAAGATGTTAAGTGGAATACTTACTTGGGTCTTCATCGCATGGCAGACATCTTGACGCCGAGTTGTGAGTAGGATTTTGCAGCCCCTCCTGCAGTTTCTACCATCAAAAGGGATCCCTAACTCCTCCATATCTAACTTAGCCCAAATATCATCCAAGATGACAAGAATGCTCTTCACTTTCTCCAACCTTCTTGATAGTTTTGATGCTCTTCCCATCACACTTGCTTCTTCAAATTTCAAACCTAACATATCTGCAATTTGACCTTGTACCTTTCTTAAGTCTGGATCTTGGGACACCACAGCCATCACAACCTTGTCAAAAAGTTTCTCATTCTCCACTTGTTTTCCTATTTCCCTCACCAGACTTGTTTTGCCAACACCTCCCATCCCGTACACCCCTATGACATGGATGTTTTCATCTGCTAATGCCTTCTTGACTTTGTTCATCGCCAATTCTGTGGATTCAAAAATCTTGAAATCTCTACTGGGAGTCGATTCCATAGTTGGAATGGGGGCTGAATTAGATATCTTCTCCATAGCTTCCTTGCTGAGTTTATGAATAGAGGTCCAATAAGAAGGTGAACTATTGCCTTCTCCTTGCAATCTATATCCATTTTCTATGATAATGTCAACCTCATTCAGAAGATTTTTTACATCATCTTTAACATCTTCCCCCATCTCCTCAGCTGATTTCACTGATTTTTGAATCTCCTCTCTCATAGATTTTAGTTTCTCCACGTTACTCTTGAAACCAGAAAGAAAGTCGAACTGGTCTTTCAGTTCTGAAGTTAACAAATTATTAAGCATATCCTTCCCCAAGTCTGTTACAATGCCAACTAAAATATTCATGGTCCTTCCCAACAAATTTATGATGCCAGAGAGAGATGAAGACATTTTTGTGTTCTAAAAGAAGAATTAATATTATACTAAAACCAAAGAAAATGAAAATACAGCTTACTTTCCACCTCTCTTTGTCTTCAACAATGTAATGCACTCTTTCACCAGCTCATTCAAGCCCCCTCTCTCTCTATATATGTCTAACAAAATAGTGAAGATCTAGGCGGATTGCACAATTCACATAGAATATTAACACAATCACGGTCTTGAACCACTTACCTTTATAACTAATGCCATCAAGATTCCATGTTTGAAAGACTATAAAATTTCATACGACAAGATGAGTTACTTTATAGTGTTTTACACTGTCCAATGAATCCCATCTTCTTCTGAAGTGAAAGTGAATACGCCTTGCCATTGCTTTATCCCCTGCAAAATAGGAAAAGAAATTTCATTTGTATTTTCAAAGAAAATTTGTGAAATATTGTTTCTTTTATTTTGATTCAATAGTTTTGAATGGTATTTGTTTTGTTCAAAAGAAAATATCAATATATATTCGTGTTGAGCCTGGATCTGCTCCACACACACCAACCTCTCACTACACGTCCCAGCGGCACATCAGGAACATCTCCCATACATTATATTATTATTCGTGAGGAGATGTTCTCAATGGGATGAGACTGTGAGGTTGGTGTGAGATGTACTCTGTGAGGAGCAAATCCCAATTCATGCTAGTAAAATTATTAAAACCTCCCCTGATGTTTCTGTCAATTGTTGAAATCTCCCCTAATTCTCTCTCTCTCATGACAAAGTGTGGGTTTGAGAATGAACCCCACCTTGCTTTGCCAAAGTCCACTTCCTTCTATCAATGAATTGAGCTATAAGTCTTAACAAGATGGATGTTAATCCCATCCCGTCAGCTCCTAGCTCTCTTCCCCAAAAATCATATTTGGCTTTCAATTTTTCATTTCTCCCTTCCCACTAGAATAGTGTACTTGTACTCCCCAAAACCCCAGCTAATCCTCTCGCCTCTCTACTTCACTAGCTATTCTCACCCACTAATGACTTCCATTTTTTCGTTCTCTCTCTCATGACGGTAATTGGACAGGTTGGGTTGGGTTTGGTTTGGATTGAGTTTCAATCCAATCCATCTAATCCGCCAATCCATTAATGACCCAGTTATATAAAATTAAATGGGTTGGGTTCAACCCAAACCCGCATTAACCCAATCCAACCTGCCCAAACCCATTAATCTTATATTTATGGACTTAAAAAGAAAACTCTCTCTTTCTTAACAAATAAGTTGGTTGTAGCTTGGTGGTTATTGTAGTTACTATATGCATAAAAGGTGAAGGTTCAAATCACATTATTTGCATGTTATTTTTACACAAGCGGCGAAGCCATTTGACTATGTTCGGATTCCGGGTTTGATCGAACCACTTAGGTTCAAACCGGTCAGATCAACTTAAACCACTTAGGTTCAAGGGTGGTTGAACCGTTTAGATTTGGATCAGTCCATTCAGTCTGGACCGGACTAGTTTAGTCAATGGTGGATTGACTTGGACTGGACTGGACCAGTTTAGTCAATGGTGGATTGACTTGGACTGGACCATATCAGGTTTGTGCACGGGCTTGGGACCGAAACAGCTGACTCGAACTAGGTCAATGTAACTAATTCGGGTCGAGTCGTGCAGATATTGGTCAGGTGAATGGCCCAGACCAGGCAAAGTGCGTAGATGACGAATCATCCAGCCCAAACCATTCAGATTCAGGTTGACCCGGATCGACTCGTACCGGTCGGGTCGGACTGTGTGAATATTGGTTGCATCAGACAGCCCAAATCGGACAGAGCAAGCGGCACTGAACCATCCCGCCCTATTTCGGATTCAAGTCGACCTGGATCAGTATATACTGGATCGGGGTCAGACCGCATTGAACTGGTCTGGACTCGGGTCAAAACTAAATTTAGTCAATAATTAATAGAAAATTAATGCATTAATTATAAATTATTTAATTCAAATGAAGGAAATTAAAAAAAAAGGCTAAGAAATTAATACTTATGTTTATAATGGTTAACCCAATGGTTATCCACAACCCAACCCAACTCAACCCATTTAAATGGGTGGATTGGGTGATGGGTTGATCACACAACCCGCCAAATAAATGGACGAATTGGATGGATTAGATACTGGGTGGAATGGGTGGATTCAACAGGTTGGATAAAAAATTGCCACCCCTACTCAAGACAAAGTGAGAGTTTGCAGAATGAATCCACCTTACTTTGCAAAAATCCGCTTCCTTCTAGAAATGAATTGAGCCATAAGTTTTGTCTCATAATTAGGATCCAACCCCCACTCAATAGGTCTCACTTGATCATCCATTGGTAGCATTGTTTCATTTGTAGTATATATTGTTAATTAACAAATTTCTTTTATAACATATGAAGATATGATGTTTGTTAAACATGGTTTGGAGTTGTAAAGAATGACCAACTTCCATATGGTATGAATTCAAATTAATTGTGATTTCTATTAATAGAAATGGAGTCTAATGGAAGATCTATTGATTCGCAAGGCCTCTGATTTATGTTCATTATCTAAATTAGTTTCATATTTTTAACCAATAACATTTGCCTCATCTAAAACATTTTGTGTGTACTTTATTGATTGTCACCTATTAAAAATCTCCCTACACCCCTACCAAAAATTTGAAAGAGTGGTCACCGATGAGAGTGATCACCAATAGATTAGGGAGATGGGATTTAACAAGATTGGCTTAGTTTCACCAGAAGGTGGAGTTTCATTAGAACAAGGAGACCCAACATTGGATGGCACAAGATAGAGGTGGTGTTGAGCAACTGCTTAAAGCTTCCCATCCAACGCCGAATGGAATGATGATGATTGGGAGACAAGTTCTAATAAGGGTATGAATTTGTCTTACATGATGGTGTGAAAATGACTCAATACAATTTTTAGAGCCAAAAAAAACCCTAATCCAAACCTCCCCAATAGGACACGTGGCATGCAAAGGAGAATTTTTTGATGACCATGTCACTGACATTGATGCAGGCTAAAACATACTTGGTTTATTCTTAGCCAGCTCGTGATCCCATGTCTCTGCCTTCCAATTACCCAAGTGAGGCTTAGCTTTTGTCCTCCATGGTGGCTCTCATGCAAATACTAAATCTTCATACCGATTATGCCCTCATTCTAAGAATAATAAACACAACCCCAATCCAACCTCTCCCTAACCAGACTAACCAGTACCATCTTTTCACCAGCCCCTATCTGACCCTCTCTAGTTTGATGACTCAAATCAAAACCCACATGTACAAAACTTTCTACTTGACACTTGATAATTCTGCATTTTAATGCCTTAAGGGCATCATTTCACAGGTACTTTCAGCATTATAATAGTCAAAGTATGCATTTTCTCAATTAAATTCATTATTCTGACCTCTGAGGGTCTTTATGCAAATTCTGGGGAAAGTTGAGAATTTTTCATAGCTGAAATGCAAATTTTGTAAAGCTGGTGTGAAGTCCAGTTGAGAGAGGGGGTGCTTTTGTGAAAAACTGAAAGCAAGAGGGTGCCTCCTAACTACTAAACCCAGTTTGGCGCCCCTCCTATCGTATTAGCATGCTCCTCACGCCTTAGCAAACCCTAGGGCGCCTTTTAACCAATTCTTTTCACTCTTAACAAACCTTAGCCACCCCTAACTGCTAAATCCTCACCTTCCATCCCTTCTAATCTCCACCATCCAATCTCGAGCACTCTCTTTTTAGCATTCTAACCCTAGGAGCCACCTAACTTCTAATTTTCACCATTCAGCTTTTAGCCATTAAATCTCAGCCTTACATAATATTGGATGCCTTCTCCTTTTCTTCTTAGCCTTAGGATACCCTAGAACCATCCTAACCCTATATTCTAAACCCTATGACACCCATATTTTTGCTAAAACCCAATTGTCGCACCCCTCTTTCTCTCTAATTCTAGTTATATCTACCCTTCTCTATAAAAAGGACCCCAGGGGCCTTGAAAAAGGGGTTGGTCAATTCACCCAATTAACAAAGCTAAGGTTTCTTAAGGAGTTCAAGGGTTGTAGAAGGGGGGACGCTCAGACCTTGTCAGGAGGGGTTCCTACAAGCTGTTCAACCATTCTGCAACTACTGCCATTGGATCTGATCAACCATTCTTTTCTTTTCTTTATTTTCTTTTTCTATTATTTTTATTTCTGCAATCTTTTAGATTTAATTCTTGTTTCTTTCTCTGTTTTGTAGATCTGAATTCGTTCAGTTCAAGGCTAAGGTGTCTCGAGGGGTTAAAGGGTTATAGAAATGGCGTATGCTCGGTTCTTGTCAGGAGGGGTTTCTACAAGCTGTCTGGTCGATCTGCAGTTACCGCCACTGGATCCAGATTCTGGATCATTTTTTTATTTATTTCTTTCATTTCCTATGTTGATTCCCATACTTTATTAAATTATGATTTTTATTTATTGTCTTGTTTAAATTCAAAATATTTAATTTCAATAATAATAGATTTTATTTTCGTATTTTCTGCCATTCACAATTGCATTCTCTTGTCCGGATCTAAGTATATATTAATTTTTCACTTGCTTCACTGTGGATAAGGACCCGTTCTCACCCATTTACTACGTTAGTAGTTCTTTGAGAAATGGTAAAAATTATAAATGTTTAAACTGGTGTTTTGGAGTGTTTAACGACGCGCTTCTGGACACACCATGTTTTTAGCACCGTTGCTGGGGAAGCAATGGAGAAAAAAATTTATTTACTTTGTTCGGATCCGGATCTAAGTATATATATGTTTCTCTTTGATTCTGCCCATCATGTCAGTTAATGCCCTACGGCGGGCCCATATCAACCGATCATCTCAGAGCAAGTACATGCAGCTAACGGATTTCTCCAACCCAATGCTAACCCATCCTTTAGTTCATATAACCCTGGGTGGGAAAATCAGCCCAATTTCACTTATTGGGCCCAAGCCCAAGAAACCACCTTGCTAGATGTGCACTCTCAATGGTCTGAAGCCCAGACTCACTATGAGTATCATGATCACCTTGGGACCCAACTGGTTCATCCTTATCAAGCCGATTCATTTGATGATAGGTTTTTGCAGCTCCAACAGCTAATCTTAGCTCAGCAACAGTCAATCCTAAAATTAGAGAGCCAAGTAATTCAGCTCATGGAAGTTAACCTGTAGTGAGAAAATGATTCAATGGTTAGTCAGCCGGTTGAAGACCCTAGCGATGAATCCTTAGGTCTTCCCCAATACCAAGATCTTACAACCCTTAATGTCCCATACTTAGAAAATGCTGAAGAAATCTCAGCTCTTCAAAGGGAGGGAAAGTGTGAAGACTTGTATGAGTTTGGAAGTCCTTCTGCCTACACATAATAGAATAGGAATTGTTGTAC